AAAGCGGAACAAGAGTGGTGACTGTGGTGATAGGCTTCAGCTTGTAATTTCAATATTTATGAATGGGAAATGTGACAGAGATGGATTCGTTTACCTTTGAGTCCCCTCTGCAGAAAAATCGCAGGTCCATTCATCTGGATCTGGCCCACAAGAAGGATATATTTAATTAATAGTTTGCTCTCTCTTTCCTTTTTTTCTTTTAGAGTTGTGTAGGAACATGCAGTGGTGTGCACAACTTGTTTTCACAGCTGGCTTTCTGTTGTCCTCTTACCAATGGTCTTGTCATCTGTCCTGTCACATGGCTGGATGTGATGTCGGATAGTCATATCTGGTTTATCCCTTACCATGTTGTATGTGCTTCCTTTGTTACCGTGTATTAACTGTACGCTGGCCATATGACAGTGTTGTTGGCCTTTTGGTCATGGGAGAAGAGGGACATGTGGCATTTGATTGTATTCGAAGGGTCCTTGTGGTGTGCTGAAGGGTTCCTCACATCTACTGTGAATCCACAAACAGTTATTGAGTTATTGCAGTGTTTTCCAGTGGCGACTGATAGGTGTTGGTTTGGAAGGAAAAGGCCCCAAACCCTCCAGGTTCATACCTTTTTCTAAGTATTTTTAGCAGTGGGTTCACTTGGAAGGCATTTTGCAAGTTTAGAAGTAGTTTATTTCTTTTTTTTCTTCTCTGTAAGGGGATTGCTGTCCTGTTCTTAGGCTTAGTGTAGTGGTGGGCAGAGTTAGCCTTGGTTCATTTAGAAAGTGGGAATAGTCGCAAGGGAGAAGAGAACTTGGGTTGTAAAGCACCGCAGGGAAGGGGCTTGACTAGCAAGACTCAGTGCACTTCATTGCATCCCAGCATGGGTTTTGATATGGTATATGCTGAAACAGCTCTCCTGGATTAGAATGTAGGTGCTATAAAACAAATCACTGAGTTATGATCTAGTGTCTGTATGCCTGGCTATCTGTATTATGGAAAAGTTCAGTAGTGAGTCAGCTACCGTTCTGGTTTTCCTTGTGTGGCAATCAGACTCCTGAGATTTTGGCATGTGTTAAACCATTTTATTTTTTAGAAAACCTGAATTTTAAGTCTCTCACTTTAAAATGAGTTATTTTGGTCATCTTGCTTTGTGGGCATGCTTTTTTTCTCCCTCTCTCTAGACTTTCACTGTTTAAAGCCCTCCAGTACTTCTTGCACCTGTTTCTGCAGTGCAGAGTCTCCTTGTATTTGCCTCTGTTTATAATCAAGCTTAGACTACAGTACTTCACAATCTTTGAACTTTATAAGTAGTCTCAGTGGCTCGTGGCCTTTAATTTCTATGTTGACGCATTGTATACCACTATCAATCTTTTGATCACTTGACTTTCAGGAACCTGGATTGCACAGATTTTACAAATTATGCTGCAATTAGAAATCTTCAATATTTTAAAATAACTGAAACCAGTCCCTAAGGAAATCTTAAAAGAGCACAGATAATCACTAAGTCAGAACTTCAACAGTTTATGTGTACTAGGATCATGTTTCAACCTGCACTTTCAGCTTTGCCCCATAAGTTGTATGGAACATTATAGACTTGGCCACTGTTCTACAGGATGTGTACCAACACAAGGGTAAGATCTCTGCCCAGGATATGGTAATGTTTTGGAGATTCTTCTTATTGTCTTCTGTATCTATCTTCTACTGTCCATGAAATTTAATTATTCTGTAATTAAAAATGGTCCTTTGTGGATCTATATTATACAGCTGTATTAAATTTCTGTGTGTTGGGTAACCCTAAGTCTTATGTTTCCTATTTAATATAGCATCCTTGATGACTTTTATTTAATCTTCTTAGAAAAACATTAAATTGTGCTGATCATGACATAAGTCTATCCCCCAATTATCCATCAGACTTATTAAACTATAAAGATATCTTTGGGACCACTAGTTCTTTGGAAAAGCACTTCTGAAGGTATTTTCATTGCTTCAATTCTGCTCAATTTGGAAGGCTTACCTTGTTTAAGCTCCTCTGAAGGGAAATGACAGCCCTGAATTTAGGTTCCTGTCCTGAAACCACATTTAGTAACATTGGGCTGGAATGAACAGCCTTCGTCACTGGTATATGCAGTCACAAGCAACCATATAACAGACATTTAATCCAGAAAAGTTTGTAGACTGTAATCTTATTCACCTCTCATTCAAGAAGCCGCACGATACTTTTCAAAATCTTAAAACAGTTTTCACATCTTAGAAATGAAGTATCAGAATTCATAAGCTAATAATATTACCTAAAGAAGCTGTGGTTATTTAAATTGCATCCCTTATGTCTGAAACATAGGCTTCTGATGGAAAGTCTAATTATTACTCTATAAATAACATACCAAACTTTCCTTCTCTTTTGAACACATACAGAAAATCAAGTTTTACATTTTTTTTCCACTTTGAATTTTTCAAAATTTCATATCGCCCACAAGAATCTAAGAAATAATTTAAAGCAGATGATCCCAGACGTAATGCTAGGTTTGTAACATTTCCAGTACTTGCAGCCATATTCCTTGGTAGGACAGAATTATACTAGATTTTCCAGAATAAATGCAGTAAACTTGGCCATTAATATGTTATTTTAAAATATGCAAATGCCTTCAAATAGGGTATTTCTGAACTTGCTGATCTCCTATTTCCCCAGCAAAAAATGGGGACCTTATACAAACAGGGGCAGTTTATAGCAGGTTTCGTTCTACTGTGTCTCAGCCTAGTGACTGGTCTCAGTCCTAGTGCCAAGCTGCCTGAGAATGAGTATCATGCTTTCCCCTTTGCATCAGAGAATCCTACTTATTTTGTCTTTCTTATGTCTTCTCATATTATAGCATTCATTAGATTATACCTTTTCTGTACTATGTAGCGCTCTAGTGATTTAACAATCTCAGTTTTTAAGGCTGATACTGTAAGTGCATGAAGGCTTAGTTAGAATCAGAGCCCCATTGAGCAAGACTCAATGAGTCAGAGGTTACTTTTGTCTTGAAGAGGTCACATTCTAAATAGATAAGAAAGATTAGAAGTAGATGCAACTGCATAGCTGGGGAATAAATGGTCGTTTTTTGCAGCTGGTATTTGATATGTACACTTCCTTCTTTGCAATTTTTTTCTTCTCTTCTAAGCATTCTTTATTATTTTTTGATGTTAGTACATGTGGAGCTTTAAAGTGAAAAATAAAATCCCTATGTTTGAGGCCATATTATCATTATACTCATTTTAATGTCTATACAACATCAGCATCTGAGACTGCAGGAACTTAACTGCTTTACTTGTTGGCATTATACTGAAGTTGATTTCAGCGAACCATAAAAAGTTTGGCCCTGAAGGTAAAATTACACTGTATGCATGTTCCTAACATACTGCTTTGGGGATAAACATGTCTTAAATCAACTCATTGCTTACAGCTAAATTCTCTCCCCAAATGCAGTTTCCCTGTAGATACTAATGTTCGCTAAGACTGATTTTTTTTTTTAAACCGTAAAGTTTTTAAACATAATTCTATCAATACATGTATTTGAGCAAGATAGTAAAAAAAAAAAAAAGTCACATATTTCTAATAAAGGTTTTTTGTCTTTTGCGGAATGTGTGCATGTGGGTGGGCTTTTTTAATTTACTTTCATCAGTACTTTTAATTTGTTCAGATATGTTCCAAAGGCTTGCATATTGCGCTTGCTCACATGTACATAATGAAAACTTTTGGACTTCACTGAAACTTTATTTGGTAATTGTGCATTTGGAAAATTAAAATTGAAGTTTATGATACCCTGGCTCCTACTTGCATCATTCATAGCGTGTTGTTAAGATGCCATCACTTGGGAGCGACGTTGCTCCTGTGGCTTAATATGCTGCAAGTTCAGCTGGCTGTTACTGCGGCCTTGAGGGGGTGGACTAAAGAATACCAGCTGGGTTGTGCCCAGATAGGCTTAGATTAATATTTCAGGACTTAGATCTTGTCCTGTCTGGAATTTAAGCTGGAAATTAAGTTCCCCAAGCTTTAAAGGGAAGGCAAGCACTGTTTGCGACTCTTAATGAGCACTTTTTTCCCTTTTAATTTGCAACCGCCTTTTTTTTTATTTTTATTTTTTTTAAAGTGAAGCCAGCAAAATCTAGGCAGTTACTTCCAAACCATTTTTACAATGCCATATGAACAAAGCATTTTAGTTTCTTCTATAACTTAATTGCCAAATTAATAATAGTCAGAAGGTTCTTCCATTTGCATCTCCACTCTCTCAGAATATATAAAGGTGAAAAAAAAACCCTGGATACTGGACATGTTTTTGAAGTGTGTGATGCTTGAGACAGCAACTGTTTGGTTGCGATTGGCTTTTTTTTTTTTTTTTTTGATTGCTCTTTGAAATAATATTTTTTTCTTTCTGTCTTAAAATTTCTACATAGAGACAAGAGTTTTAAATTCTCCCATAGTGGAGAATCAGCCAGGGATTTTTTTTCTATTTTAACCGCCTTTGACCTACCTTTCCCTTGCCCAGTGAATAGAAATGGCAACGCAGCCTGTGCTTAGGGTGACTAAGGATCTGCTCTCTGCATAGCTCATAAAGTCATGAAGTGAACCTGCAGGGAGGAGGGTTTCAGCAGTCCTGCTTATGGAGAAAAAAATAATGCTTTTAAAGTATTTCTTTGCAAAATAATAATAATAATAATAAAGCCTTTCTTGGGCCCCTGAGTATATATTAATTGGTTATAATCCTTAGTTTTGAGGCACATAATTATTCACACAACAGCAGGTGATGGATTCCCAGGTACAGATCCTGTTTCTTTGTAGTGACAAGCAGCCTCTTCTGAGGGCCAGAGCAGACCCTTCGGTAAGAAGCTGCAGGTTCTATAATTACTTGTAAAGTGAGGATTTAGATATATAGCAAAACATGCACAAGTTTAACCACTTGCCTGTAAGTTTACTGACTGGATATGCTGTTAGTTTAAGTGCTCTAATTTCTGTTTGCTTTTCTTTGTTATTTATATTTTTCTTCCAGATCATAACTAAATATGTTTATGGACTACTGGAAAAGGAATGCCACTTGAAAAAAGTAACTCTCCCAGTAAGTGTAAATTCTTTTCATAGTTGTTATTCTGTTGACTTTGTAAAATTGCCAGTCTCTGCCCTGAGGGGACTGCGGTGCAGACTTCAGAAAAAGCCACGTTGTGCTCGGGCTGTATGGAAGTTACCATCTCAGGGCACTGACTTCATGTGGGGTGTGTGCTTGTGAGTGTAGAAATGGTTCTGCCTGCCTTTCAGTGTGATATCTCCACCTTAGCGTTCCTAGCTTGCCAGATGTGAGCGTGTTCAAAACGCTGTATTTTTAGTAGAGAAAGCCTCTTTTCAAAACCTGTTTTCAGAACCTATTTACAAATGTTCTTTGCAGCTGCATTGAGGGAACTGAAGACAGGTGTCTTTACGAGCTGAGGAATAAACTTGAAATAGAGTCTGAATCTTTTCAAAGCACACTTAACAAGTAGTTTTTTCAGTAACTTGTAACATATATTTGCAATGCCTTAAAGGAGGGATGCTGCGAAGAAGCTTTCTCTTGGTTAGATTGCTCTCTGCAGACAGAGAACCGGATTGTGTTTGCAGTGCCAGGCTGCATGATGCAATATGTGATTTAGTCTCTCTAGCTTCTTTGCACAGCAGGTTTTCTTTGAAGGGAGTTTTAGTACTTCTGTGTCCCAGACAGATAATTTTTAAAGGGAAGAAATGTTCTTATTCCATGCAATGTCACGTGCAATCTGTTAAAAGAGCAAGATATAAACTAAGATCAGCCAAAACTGAATTTGAGGAGCAACTTGTTGCAGTTGTGAAGTCTAATAATGCATCGGAGAGTTTGGGACCAATGGATGGTCGGATTGCAAAAGGAAGACAAAAAAAAGGAAAAGGTCAAATAAGACAAACTAAAATTATCATCTCCAATATTCTTCGATACAGACACTTTTTTCTTTTTAATGGGATTTAATTTTGAGAAACTATCTCAAGTTGACATATCGGTAGAGGGGATCTTGGAACAAATTGCTGTAACAGGCAATACTTGGTTTCCAGGATGAGATAGTTTTTAATCCCAGGGTTCTGTAAGACGGCAAATATGAAGCTGCAGAGCAACCAGCAGTGACCTGACTTACCACTTAAATCAGCATTTTTACATCAGAGAAACACAAAAGGACTAAATGCAATAGTAGACCTTGGAGGGGCTCCAGGAGTGATTCGCAGAACTATATTATCGCAAAGCCTGACCTTTGTACCAAGCAAATTAGTAAAAACTATGATAAAATATTGAATTAGTAAAGGCAGAACTATGTACTGAGGAAAATTCAATACTGCTTTTATTAAAAAAAAAAGTCTATATTGAAAGAGCTCAAGATCATGTGAATAAGAAAAATCTTGTCAATAATAGACTACCTGGATTTCCAACAAGCTGTCAACAAGCTTGCTAAATTTATTTCATAAAATTAAACTGTCATGGGATGAGAGGAAGAAGTCCCCTTATGAATTAATAATTGGCTGAAAGGAGGAGGAAAAAAAAAAGGATTCTTGTTTTATAGCTGAAAGAAGTTATTACAGATGCATTGTTGTTAAGGTCGGCACTGACATACTCGTTAATAAAGAAAAAGGGGGATTGATAGAAGAAGGTAAACTTTGCTGATTCTTCTAAAATGGTTTAGAATACTTAAATCTAAAGCTGAATGTGGTGAGTTTGGGAATTACTTCATGATGCTGAATGATTGCATGATAAAATGACATGAGATTCAATTTTGATGAAAGTGAAATTATGGAGAGAATAACTCTGCTAATACAGTAATGGGCTCTAAAAGAGCTTCTACTATGCAGGAAAGAGGTGTTGGAGTGATTGTGACGAGCTGTGAGGAAACATAAGTTAGTGCTCTTTGACAGTCAAAAACCTCAAAGCAACTAGGATGTTAGGAATTCAGTGTTGCAAAAAAATAAAGAAAATAAAACAGGAAAACATAGTCATTCTGTTTTTTATGTGGGCCCCCGTCTTCAATGTTGTGTGGAGGATATCAAAAAGGCTATGAGGAATCTGAAAAAGAATATAGAGGAGAGTTGCGAGAATGATTACAGGCACAAAATGCTCTTCAGTCAAAGATTAGACAGAAAGATTGTTCAGCTTAGAAAATAGATGACTGAGGAAGGAATATGACAAATCTATAAAATCATGAAATGTGCAGAGAAGATGAATAGGAAATGGTTATTCGCTTTTTCATAATACAGAAGCTAAGGGGCATCAAATTTAAATTATCAGGCAGGAGATCTGTAGTGAGAGAGAGGAAGTACTTTTTTCAGGTATGACCCAATTATGTTGTACAACTCATTGCCACAGAATACTATCAAGAAGAAAGATACAAATGGACTCGAAGAACCCATTTGGCAAAATTTAAGTGGGATAGATCCACTGAATTATTGTACATGCATGCCTGGATGTGAATTCTGGCTCAGGAAAAGGGAGGTTCTTGAGGTTATTGCTTTTATTTTTTCCTCTCCTGCCCCAACATGATTTTGGGTAGTATACCAAAATCCTATGACAACATTATAGGATTTTTTCGCTTTCTTAATTTCCACCTCCTGCCTGTGCAAAAGTCCATTTCTGCTGTCTTTATTTTGAGTTCTCAGGTGGCAGCTTCAGTTATCACCATGAAAAAAAAAAAGTACATTCCTTTTCAGATAAAAAATCCATGAGTTTCAGCTATAAAATCAGGAAAGCTTGCCCATTATTTTAGTATGTTAGTATCCATGACAAAATATAAATCCCCATTTTTCCTACAAGGGAGGCTTTGGTGCGACTGTATTGTTAGCATAAGGTATTGTAGTTCTCAATGTTCAACATCTACTAGTGGACTTAAATTTAAATAGACTCATTTTCAAGGAGAAGCAGTTCAATTATTTCTTTTAAATTTCTCATTTTTTGCTCCACTGAAGGCTATATTATTACTGTAAGGAAGAGTGCAGATTCTTTTTACCTAGATGAAGCCTTTGTATTTCTCTATTTTTAATGGTATAGTCAGGGATTGATCTTTGCAGTTCTTTAGCTGTCGAGGACAAATAAAGGGTGCTTCTCAATTAATTGCATCTTTAACAGATTCTGGGAAGGCCTGAAGTGGAGGTTTAAGTAATCACAAACACATTTTATTGACAATGCCACTAAAAGGTCTCGCTTTGCAGAATCTTCTAACTTATCAATGCTTTGCTCTTTCACTTCAACAGCTAAAACTTTATTCAGTGGTTCTGTTGATTCTACTAGAAAGCCAAGAACTCGATTAAGGGAAAACAGTCTCTTATGTCCATTACTTACCACTTTCAGCTATTTTGCCACTTTAGTACAGTCAATACCTCTTTTGTAAAGATTCCACCTTTTAAGTGTGTTGAGTTGACTTTGGCAATTGCTAAATGCTAATCAATTTTTTGGTTGCACTGATCAGCAGTTTTATTTTTTATTATTACTTTGAGTATAAAAAAATTGAACATTAGTAAATTCGGTGTTGCGAAGACTGTAACATGAGTTGGCAAGCTTTATGTAGAAACACATAACAGAAAACTTCCCTGTTTTTCTAGAATCAAAGGAGCAGTTTCGTACTTCAACAAGCTGCTCACATTTATGTTCTCTTTTGAGTCTTTCCAGTATTCCATTTATTTGCCATTCCATTTCATCCACTCACAAGAGTTGTACTCATTTCACCCGTTTGCAGGATCCAGACCGATGATTTTTATTAAGTTTCTTATCTAGAATAAGAAAAATATTAGTTTTTGTTTCTCTTTAAAAGCTTAAAGTTCATCTTAAAGTTTAAGAAGTCCAATGTACAAAATGGTACTGCTAGGACCCAGTCAGTTTTGTGCAGTTTGGGCTAGTAATGGCTAACAACTGAAAAGCGTATAGTGAAGTCCATGTGGGAGCGTGAAGGTGAGATTAAGCTAAGGTTTCAGGTATACTTTGATGCTACCTTCTATGTTGACAAAAATGCAAAATACTCATAAGCATGCTGTTTAGGTATGATATAGACTGGTCATGTAACCAGTTATGAACATCTGAGATAGAACACTTGAGGAAAAGTTAATCCACTATTTGGAAGCCTTAAGTATTTTGTAATGTCTATTGAGTGTATAATTCATGAGAGGGTTGATCATAATCATAGATCATAATTGTAGACACTCATAAAACTTATAATTGTAGTTGTAAATTGGAAAAATAAACTAGAGAAGAAGAAAATAAAACTTTGTGTCTCCAGTAAATTATCAACAGAATTTAGGTTGATTTGACATTCCTTGCTACAAATTATTGGAAGACTGTTATCTCATGTGAATAATGATGTTGAATCAACTTGCAAATGTGTCTAATTGAAATTCAGTGTTTTACTGAATATATTCAATTTGTATTTAAACAAAGGATCAGAGATAAGTGTTCATGAGTGCATCCAGAACAGAAAATTGCTAATAAATATAAATTATTTTATGTGGTCTCAGTATGTCTCACACTAAATGGTATTCTACGTTGATTTGTCAATAAAGTGAGGTTGTGCACAAGAGTGACCTTTATATGCATTCTCTAGTGAAAGCTTGATTTAATGAATTACTACTGTTTGAAGATAAATTGACTTGAGGAAAAGCTTCCAAATATAATTAAGTTGAAGAAGGGAATGAAGGGTTATTTTTTTATCAGCTTGGTAGATAGGTTTAACTGTTCCAAATTAACATCTTTTCAGAAGTGTGAACTAGTTGTGTGTCTTCTAGTACATATGATTGCTAAATGCTGGCATGTCCTGTATGAAAACTTATTTTTCAAAAAACAGTTTATAAAAGAGTAAAAAATCTAAATTGTATATTTATATATCTGCACATTGCTTTATCTCCAACTGTATATCTGAAAAGCTAATTTGCAGTGTTTTTGTTTAATTATAGTGTTATAAGTATTCAGCGTATGTGCAAAACTGAATTAGATCTCACTAAGTACTGCTTATGATTTAATATTGTCCAAATTTTTATATGCCTGCCACTGTAAGTTTTAAGGTGTCAATACAGCAGCTTCAGAAGTGGCAATGTAAGTTGATTGCATCTCCAGTGTGGTTGGTGTCTGTTGTACTTTATTAGAATGTTGTACTCTTATTAGGAAGTTCTACTGACTTTATTCGGGGGGGGAAAAAAAAAAAAAGTAAGACTTGCTAGCTTTTAAAAGGTCTGAAAGCTGCTGAAAGAGGAGCCTTTGTAATAGTAATTGAAATCTCCCTTGGATAATGGCTCTAAAATCTGGTATATTTTTATGTTTCAAAGTTACATTGTGCAGATATGATTTCTACTTTATTTTTATTTAGTGCTGGTCATGCATTAGTAAATATAATATACGTACAAATAGTTGTTAACAAGTGAAATTTTTGGTATCAGTTCTGATGGTGAACTGTATACAAGTGAACAAGTGTTTTTTTTGTTTTGTTTTAATTTGTTATTGATGCAATAAAATGTGTCTTGGTTCCAATTGCAGGTAGATGCGACTGAGACTGAACCAAAGAGTTTTATCTTTATGAGCGAGGATGCATTAACAAATGCAGACAAACTCTTGGTCCTAATTCATGGTAGCGGTGTTGTCAGAGCAGGTCAGTGGGCTAGGAGGCTTATCATCAACGAAGATCTGGACAGTGGCACACAGATACCATATATAAAGAAGGCTACTGAGGTAAGTGAAGGTGCATATGTATATGTATGCTTGTGTGTGCATGTGTGTATAGGTATGCATGCATATGAAAAGCTATACATCTGTGATGTTTTAATTTGTTAGCGGGGTTCGGTATTTCCCCCTGTGTTCACTTTCTGCAGGAGGGAATGCTCGTTTTGTTTTTTATTTTTCTTGCCCTTCTCCCCGCCTCAACTTTTGTCAACTAGAAACAAGTTCTTTTGCAGTTGGGGAAGAAAAAAAAAAAAAGTAAAGATAAAAATCTTAGCTGTATGTCATATTGTTTTGGCGGCACTGCCATGTAGTTTAATATGGCAGCTAACGTGACAAGAGCCCTTAACAGGAGATGAGACACAATAGAAGGCACTACGGAAATTTGTTATGAAGTGTTTTATTTTACATTTCATTAGATTTGTATGTATTCTCACTCAATGTCTGTTGTAATCTCATGATAACATGAGCTTTCATGATAACAGCAGGCTTTCTTATTAGGCTTGTACTGAATTTGTTAGAGGCACAGGCTTTTTCAGTTTTGCACTGAATAATGATTCCTTTTGATTCACCTATCAATACTTGACAGTGGAAAACATTTACATTTTATGGCCACTATCCTTTTAAATTTACATCTTTATGTCATGTTGTACTGTAATATGTAGTAACATATGAAAGACAATGCATTTGCGTATTTTTTTTGTGATATCATAACTTTGTAAGTATAATTCATCTCTTTCATCTTGTTACATAAATGAAATTATCTGTAGCAAATGCTTGAAAAAAAATAAGATTTACTACTTCTCCTGTTACATTAACCAATTTAAGGTAGTTCTTTAATGTAAGTACCGTTTTTATCACTCTTAGTTATACATGTCTTTCTAAATTAAGCTTAACTTTTTTGCAGTAACACAAGAAAGTGGTTGGTATACAAAAGGGTTATTTCAAACATTTTGATTTCTTTTGCTTTCTTTTCAGTAAAACAAAGGAAATGTTAAATCTTGGGGCCATTATATTAATTTTGTGTTGTATTATTCACTAACAAAGCAGATTACAATTTGTGAAAACAAACAAAAACACAGATCTCATATTGCAATGATGCATGCATTCATTTAACATAAAATTTTTGTACATTTTAAATCAAGATACTTCAGAGTTATGGAGTATAATATAAGCATATGGTAGGTGAAGTATGAGATTAATGTCTACAGTGCAAGGTCCAAAACTCTTAAGAAAGTTGAGGAGCTCCTTAGTTTGTATTACCATGATGACATACATATATTTTTGCTCTTTCCTAGCAATACTGGTGTCGTTTAAAACTCTTTGAGCCTAAGCTACTTGGATGTCTTGGAAGAGAATGCTTTTAAGAGAAAGCAATTTTAGCTTGTATTTCCTGTTCCATATATATGTACTTACTTTGTCCAGTGATTGTATCAGTGTAACAGACAGCAGGCCTGTATTCTCTCTCTCTCTCTATATATATGTCCTTAAAAAAGGTGGTGTATTTCTACATTTTTTTAAAATGAAAAACCAAAGACAAATCCTGAAGTTTAATGAGAAATCGCTAAGTAAATCATTCATTCATGTCAAGGACATCGGATGTTATGCTCTTCTCTTTGATTTCCTTCTCTCTCAACCTTGTTTTTAAATTTATAGTTTATTCCAATAATTTCAGATACCATAAAAACAAAACTCTTTTTTTTGGTTCATCTTAAAAATCTGGTACGTGCACTACATATCTGGATCACATACTATTTGCAGTGGATTTTTGCAAGTATATACTAGATAGTAGTCGATTGTATTACAGAAAATATTTTTGGTATCCTGTAAACACTATAGTGAGAATTACACTGTTAGATAAGACAACATCTTCACAGAAGTGCAGTCTCACTGAAGAAATCTGGACTCGTTATGTTATGACTAAAAGAAATAAAAGAGAAGTATTTCCATGCTCATATTGTGTCTTCTTCCTGCATGGATTGTGTAAATTACCCAAGTACAGGTAGTTACGGCAGAGTGAAAAACTTAATTTTCATTAATGGTAGTTAAAAGTACAGCCTTTTCTCTGTGTGTAGGGATATATATGTATATACATGTGTATATATGTGTGTGTGTGTGTGTTGATTTAGGCACTTCCATCTCTTACAGAATAAAAGCAACTACCTTGGATAGTAAATGTCCAGAATGCAAATTGTCATAACTTCTCATACAATGTTGCTGGTTTGAATTAAGGAAATATTTTCCATGATCTTCCATGATCTTCCACTGTTTCTTTTAAGAAGAGGTCTCATACCTGAATGAAATCTGAATACCTTATTGAAATGCAAGATTATAGTCCTGATGAGACAGGAACATTTGGGGGGGTTGTTTTTTTTAGTATACTGTATGAATTTGAAGTGGGCGTTATCATCCAGGATTTGAAAAACGTACTGATCTGTTAGGATGGTGAACTGTGTGCTGGTCAGTTGCTGTGGATAAGGTTTTCTTTGGTAAAAACAAAAAATAATTTGCAACAGTAGTAATAAATCTCTTGTGTGCAGGAACTAGTGTCTTTCTCAATTTGCGGATGGTGGTCCTTCGTCCATCTTTTATGTCAAACTGTATTTAGTAGATTCCATCTTCTGTGTAATAGGCAGTGGAAATGTTGGGAATTGTTTACAAATTGCATGTAAGGAAGGTAAGAGTAATGGGTTAAATTAGAAATCTGAAATTTGATGGTGTGAAAAAGACTTTCTAAGAAATAAGAAAAAGATTACATACAAGAGACAAGATAGAGAACAGATTGTAAGAAAAGGAGGAGGGAGAAAAGTGTATAGAATGTGAGAGACAGAAATGTGTAAATACACTGAAGCAGGATAGGGAAGGATCTACTGTAGAAAAAAAGTATAAGAAGGCAGATGTGATAATATAAAGCTTAAGGAAGGTAAGAAAGGCTTAATTAAAATTCTAGCAGATGCATATTGTAAACATATATTAAATAAAAGAGGCAATTTGTTATTAAAAAAGTAACAATTTTTTTTTAAAGTTCCTTACAGAAGTACCAGATAGATCTTTTTCCTTGACGTTGTCTTCGTTGGGAAATGCTGAAGTTGTGATAGGAGAAGTCATCTTGAGATGCAAGAGGCTAAAGTTCAAATTCTTTCTGCGGGGAAGGAGCAGATTATTTAATTCCACACTGAAGATGCTCTACTTCTTAAAAATAAATAATCAGAACTGGAATTTTAGTCTGGGTCCTCCACATTTTGAGTAGATATATGATTCACTTCAGCCCGAGATAAGGAGAGAGGGAGTTAAATTCTTTAGTTCAGTGGGAGGGCTTTTACTCAGGGTGCCACAAATTAATAATTTAAGTTCCTTATTTTATTCAGGATAGTACTCCGTTATTCCATATGAGAACTTCAGCTGTCAGCCTCTTTAAGAGAAGGTTATGAGTACCCTTACCTGGCTTGTTAATAAGTGATAATAGTGTGGATGTTAATCAAAATATTCAGTTAAGAGATGTACAAATGATGTCATATATATATATATATTTATACATAGTGAAGTTATACCTATGGACAAGTGAGAAAGGATGCAGAAGAGGACTGCTGCTCCTTGCCATAGCACTCCCTCTGCAGTGACTGGAGAAGTAGGTTCGGCGCTTTGAAGTCCCCTGGGGAAACGGGAGTCCAGCTTGCCTAGGCCTGGACACTAGGAGGAATTTTGGAGTATTTTATCTTTGGTACATTTCCTCCAGGGGCTAAAAAAGGCATCAGCTTTCTGCACTGGTTACTGCAGGAGTGTGAAGAAGCTATTGGAGGCTTTCTGAGTCTTTGGAAGCTCAAAATATTTGTAACCTAAGACAGCTTATGGTCCAAGGTTTGCCAGTAGGACTCAACTACAGCAACTGTCAGCAATCTGCTTCCGGAGGGTGGTTGTTTTAGGAAGGTTGGCTTCAAAGTCAGTATCATTTCACATGGATATTTTGGCGGGAGGAAAGAATGCAGAAATCTGAGTTTTCCTGAACAGAGGAACTATCTGGGGCTTACCTGACATGGGCATCATCCCCAGAAATGTTTCTGCAATGCCTGATAAGGTTTTCATCTCCTGTTTTCCCTTGTGCTTATCCTGTATTTTTCACTGCATTCCCTTAACAGCTTCTATGTTGTTTAACCTAGAATACTGTCTTTATTCGCTCGGTATTATTCCTTTCTGTAAAACAGTGAGTGGGGTAATATTTACTCAGAATTGCAGAGGGTTTATTTTGGCTTGGAATCAGATGTCATCTGTGTTTTAACTGTGTTGAATGGAACAACAAAATCATCCAATATAGTAGCTATTGAGTTTGCTCTTCATGACTTTTATGTGATTAATTAACCTTTATGGTTGGTAATGGTAACGCTTTTTAGTGTCTTTCCATTTTGTAAAAATCAGTGAGTTGCAAAAGTAGATTTTTAAATAATATCAAGTTGTTTTTTAAAAAAAATTCTTTCAGAGTACAATAACAAGAATCCCCGTAGAAAAACGATTGCATTTTGATTCGTCTAGAAAATGAATTATTTGGTAGACCGCTGCAGACTTTAAGTAGAATGTATAGATAAGCCAAGTCCCCTTGGTTTTAGTGGTTGTATTTTAAAAACCTAAAATTGTAAATTTTGTCTTATAGTTTGCATGTAATTAACATAATATTCACGTGGGAAAGTGACACTTTCTTGGGGGGTGGGGAGTCAACATTTCACTGCTATGACAGTATTTATTTAGCATGTTAATATTTATGCTCATGGTTTTTCCTAGGCGTATTGTTGCAGAAAGAATTTAAAAGACTACATTTTTTAAATAGTAGTCAACACCTGAGTATTTGGGAGTTCTTTTTTGGGCATTCAAATATTTTACTGGAAGTAGAATTTTACTGAAACAAGCAGTAATGTGATACGTTGTTTTGTTTCAGGTAGTAGTTAGCTGACTGGTATATAAATTTGCTTTTATTCATTTGGATAGACTGTACAAATAGAATTGCCTGGAAAATATAAAAG